TGCCCATGGCGCGCGCGGCGGCTGCGGAGACAGCGGGGCGGCTCTGCATCACCGGGACGGGCGGAGCCGCGAGGTGCCCGGCCCCGGCCCCCGGCGCTTCCTGCGGACAGGTCCCGGCTCCCCGCCCGAGCTTAACTCTTCGAACGCTCAAGGGCTGGGGTGGGAACTGGCCGCGCGGGGAGCCTTCCTCCGCCCACCGCGCCGGCTGCCCACGCAGGAGAGAATGAATGAATGAAGCTACTGGAACTTGGCGGACTCGTGGGAGGCGCCCACGGTCCGGGACCCCTTCCGCATTTGAGAGGGTTGCGCGAGAAAAACAATCACGTGAACGCAAAAGTCAAGTGATTTTTAAGTCATTTCAAAGTGAATTTCGCAAATAAGTCGCACGAAACAGACCCTTGGTTTTAAGCTTAAATAAGGGAGCCTGAAGTACAGTAAATTTTCCATTCCCATGCATTGTTCACACTCAAATTCCTCTTGAATCTGATTGAAAATTTTTAGGTATGATAACCTTAATAACTGATGACTAAATCTGTTTTTAAATATGAAAATCATGTATATTTCACTGATGGATATCATGAATATTTAAGACAAACTAATCATTTCAGGGCACTGTTAAAAAGTACTTAAATATCGAATTTCCTCTTGTAACAAGTTCTAACCTGGCTTTCCATTCTCCTTCATGAATAGTAAGGCCAAGATTTGAAGGATAAAAAACCACAGTTATGTAAGTGAAAATCGGGGGATGATCCGTCATCTTAAGACAATCGATGTGTAGAAAGACACATTAATTAGAACTGTTTTTAATACAGCAGACTAACATCTGATTTGGATCACCAACCAATTATTAAAACAATAAAAATATTTTGTTGTAGAAATAAACCCGGATTGGACCCAGTGGGATCATTAGAGCAGCGCTCCAGTGTTCACTGCCATCCGCTATTCCGGGGCTCACCCCTGAGCACCAGTCCGCAGGGCAGCTAAGTATTAATCATGGCCATCTTAGTATTATTATTTTAGTATTGCTATTTTCCACGCCCTTGTACGGTGTCCCCTCATGTCTGACCAGTACTACTACCAAAGCTGCAGTGTATTTAAAACTTCATATGTGCCAAGAACTTATGTACATTAGTATTAATCCCCATTCTAAGTGTTAGCGTTCCCCCTTTAAGATAAGACAAGAGAGACACAAGAAAGAAGTTAAGGACTTCACTCAAGAACGGAGCCATGGGTGCTGGAGCTATAGCTTATCTGCAAAACGCTTGTCTGACAATTGCAAGGTCGTGAGTTCAATTCCTAGTACCAAAAAAAAAAAAAAGGACAGACTGAACTACACAGTGAAACCCTGTCTCCAAAAAAAAAAAAAAAATAAGGTAAACAGAGGCCCAAACAAGGAAAACCTGTCTTACTGGGTATTGATCTACCCATGGGACACTACAGAGGGGCAGTTCAGGGAAAGGCACTGTATATAGATCAGAGGGGTGACCTTGTTCAGAGACATTGACTAGGGAGCTACCAGCATATAAAGAATCCCCAGTGTTTGAGATGAGATCACCAGAGCCTCCGGAGGATCCCTAAGAAATAATAACACTTGTGGAGTGAACAGAGGAAGAATCTCCAGTGGAGATGGAAGACTGCCTAGAGGGAAAAACCAGGAGGAAATACAGCCTCACAACCAGGAATATGTCGGTAAGAAAGGAGTGGACAACAGCAAATATCCAAAGGAGGAACAGCCAATAGTGTGGCCTTGAGTGGCACAGTTCAGTAGCTGGTAGATGCAAAATAAATCCACAACAATATACTAGCAAGCTTGATTCAACAACATATTAAATGGATCATATACCATGACCCAGTGAGATTTATCTCAGGGATGCAAATGTAGTTCTGAATTAGAAAGTTAATGCCAATGCATCCTATTAACAAAACAAAGGGAAAAAAGACTACATGACTATCACAATTATTGCTGGAAAAGGCATTTCCCAAAATCCAACAAAAAACACTCAGGACACTAGACACAGATACGAAATGCCTCAAAATGAAAAAGTGTGGATCAATGACTTGAATATAACATCTAAAACATAAAAATCTTAGGAGAAAATATAGGGATAAACCTTCACAATCCTGGATTTAACATTGTATTTTTAGATATGACATCAAAAAAGCAAGCAACAGAAGAAAAAATAGATAAATGGGACTCCATCAAAACTAAGACTTTCAGGCAGGCATGGTGGCACATGCCTGCAGTCCCAGCACCAAGAAAGGCCAAGGCAGGAAAACTGCAAGTCTTGCCTGATCCACTTAGTGACTTAGCAAGACCCTGTCTCAAAAATCCCCCCGCCCCAGTAAAGAAAGTAAAAAGAAAACATACAGAATAAGATTTTAAAATCATATATCTATCTGATAAGGATTTAGTACCCAGAATATATACAGGATACTTACAATTCAATAATTAAAAGACAACCCAATTAAAAATGGATGAAAGACTTGAATAGATATTTCTTCACAGAAGATATACAAATGGCTAATCCCACATGAAATGGCTTTGTTCAACAGTCGTTAGGGAAATGCAAGTCAAAACCACAAGGAGGGGCTGGGGATTTAGCTCAGCGGCAAAGCGCCTGCCTGGCAAGCGCAAGGTCGTGAGTTTGGTTCCCGGTACCGGAGAAAAACCAAAAACCAAAAAAAAAAAAAAAAACAAAACCACAAGGAGATCACTTCACCTGGGCTACCAGATCTATAATCAAAAATGCAGACAAGTGTTGGCAGGAATTTTGAAAAATTGGAACCCTCATACATTTCTGGTGGGAATACAGATGGTGTAACCACCTTGGAAAACGGTGTGCAGTTCCTCAAGACGTTAAACATGCAGTTACCACATAACCCAGTAATCCCACGCACAAGTATATAGTCGAGAAAATTTAAAACATCTGTTCACACAGATACACAAAATTATACATAACGTCCATGAAGCAATTGTTCATTAACAGCCCCAAAGTAGAAACAATCCAAATAGTCATCAGCTGATGAATAGAATGTTATTTGTACATAAAAAGTTATGAAATATTGATAGTTGTTGCAACATGGATTAACCTTGAAAGTATTATGCTAAGTGAAAGAAGACAGACACAAAAATGTCACATATTGTATGATTTCATTTATATAAATCTTTCAGAATGGGCAAGTCCGCAGGGACAAAAGTAGATTGTGATTAGGCAAGAAGTCAAGGGAAGGGGAGAATGAGGAATTATTGCTAACAGGCCCGGGATGTTTGTGGGTAATGCTGATGAAAATGTCCTGGAATTAGACAGTGGTGATAGCCACACAGCCTCATGAATATACAAAAATCCACTGAAGCCAAAAAGAATGAATTCTATTCCCAGTTTTTTAAAAAATGATTTTAACTCACCCTTAATAGCAAAATGTACTTTTGCAATTTTGGCCAATTTGTATTTAATTTTCACTTTTTATTAGCAAAAAAAAATTTATTGCCAGGCGTGGTGGCACACGCCTGTAATCCCAGCACTCGAGAGGCTGAGGCAGGAGGATCATTGCTAGTTTGAGACCAGCCTGGGCTACAAAGTGAGCTCAAGGGCAGCCTGAACTACACAGCGAGACCTTGTCTCAAAAAGACCAAAAAAAAACCGTATTAATCATTTCTATTTCTTCATCAGTGATTTGTCTGTTCCTGCAGTTTGCTCATTTCTGTACTGGTTCCTCACCTTTTTCTTACTGTTTTATAAAAATTCTTCATATTATAAGGTTAGCAGCCTTTTGCCACTTTTCCTGGTTTGTTATTTGCCTTTCAGTTTTTTTATGGAGCCTAATGTATAAAGATGTCTCATATGTACACAGTCAGAACTATCACCTTTTCCTTTATAATTTTGTGTGTTGTTTTAATTCTTAGAAATCCCTGCCTTCCTTCTCCATATCTTGCCATTTCTAGGGCAAGAGACATATTTCAATTTTATTCTTCTGTTTGTGACTGTTTAGTTTTCTTATACTTCACTTTATTCTTTTTGTAGTACTAGAGATTGAACCTGGGACCTTCATATGAGCTACACGCAGCCCTTTTTTATATTTTAATTTGAGACAGGATCTTGCTATGTTGCCCAGGCAGGGCTCGACCTTGTTATCCTCCTGCCTCAGCCTCCGAGGGGGAGGCATTGTTTAATGAGGTATTCCTCCCAGGGTGAGGTGTTCCAGTTGGTAAAAGGCTGAGTGAAGAAAGTTGGCCAACTGGCTTTGTCTCAGTAGCTGCCAGACAGCGGTGGTGTAACTGTCTGTTGTTAAGCTGAACCCCAGGGGTTATGATGCCCCTGGGTCTAGCCCACCCATGCGGGGCTTGTTACAGGAGCAGCAGTATCACCCAGGGATACAAATTGCTATAATTGCTCCACTTCTTTATGACTTCCTGGAACACGAACATAATGACTAGGTATTCCTTCTTGGAATGTGGTGGGATGGGGTGTAGTGTGCAAAGATTCCAATTTGATAACTTCCCTCTGGGCTGTAACATTATCTTCCAAAAGTGACTCAGATTGCTTCTCTCCTGTCCCGTGCTCTAGAGCTTTTTACATGTCATCT